CAACAACCTCCACAACAACCCCCATAACAACCTCCACAACAACCTCCACAACAACCCCCATAACAACCCCCACAACAACCCCCACAACAACTCCCACAACCCCCACAACAACCTCCACAATAACCCCCCACATCAACCCCCACCACAACCCCACAACTTCCACAACAACCCCCACAACAACCCCCACAACAACTTCCACAACCCCCACAACAACCTCCACAACAACCTCCATAACAACCTCCACAACAACCCCCACAACAACCTCCACAACAACCCCCATAACAACCTCCACAACAACCCCCACAACAACCCCCATAACAACTTCCACAACAACCTCCACAACAACCCCTACAATAATCTCCACAACAACCCCCACAACAACCCTCACAACAACCTCCACAACAACTCCCATAAGAACCTCCACAACAACCTCCACAACAACCTCCACAACAGCCCTCATAACAGCCCCCACAGAAGCCCAGTAGTGTTTGTGCTTCAGCTCCTTTTCACTGTGTACTAGGAATCCCTCTGCTCTTTCTAAGCTTCAGCTCTGCTGGGATGACTTGTGCTGCGGAACAGTTGCTGGGCAGTCCTGGGTCTGGCTTGGGTCTTGTACTTCCATTCATTCCATCTAGAGGAGCAGTCTCAGAGAGTTCCTTCAGCAGGAGTCTGCAGGGGGACACTCAGATCTCTATGGTGCTACTGTTCACTTTTTACAACCCGAGTGCTTATGGGAAAGCAGGACACAGAGGTGAGAATTTGTTTAGGAAAAGTGAAAATAGTTTATCGGTAAAAAGACCTCACTAATTCACTCAAGCTTTCTAATGTGATAACGAAAGTGCAATATTGTTTTAGCATAACAAACAGCACACTGAGACATGGAGTGTGATGTTTTCAGGACAGTTATCTTTCAGGTACACTACAGAACCATCCAGCATAATTAATTGTTTTAAGAACAACAAAAATTTCTATATTGGAGGGAAACAGGTTTGGGTATATTTTCAAACACACCAAAAAGTCTCTTTGTTGTTTAGAAATTTGAAAAAAACATAAAAAACTTTCCAGTGAAAAATTACGCTGAAATCATCTTCTGAATATAATATTGTACTTTAACAAAATATTAGGAATAAAATATTTAATGAGTTTCACCTTATTTTTAAAAACCTTAATGTATATTGTTTACATTTAAACTCTTTCATCTTTTAATTTCTGCAGAGTCTGCATGTTCAACAGGGTATCAAGGATTCTGAGTCATCTAAAGTGGAACAGAAAATGAATCTAACAGGTAGTGCAGGTAGGGAACGGATGCATCACGCACTTACTAGAAACCTATACAGTGTTAAGTCTACACAATTAATTCAGATAGAACATATGAATGCAGCAAAATCGGGTATATAGTGCACACATTTACTTAAAATCACTCTGCACATTAGAAATCCGTCTGCATTCAATTTTAATTTATATTCTTAATGTGTTATAATAAAACTGAGAAGTTAACTTTTTTTTTTTTTTTTTTTTTTGGTTTTTTCAAGACAGGGTTTCTCTGTGTAGCCCTAGCTGTCCTGGAACTCACTCTGTAGACCAGGCTAGCCTCGAACTCTCGAACTCAGAAATCTGCCTGCCTCTGCCTCCCAAGTGCTGGGATTAAAGGCGTGCACCACCACCGCCCGGCAAGAAGTTAACTCTTAAATTACTTTTTAAATTACTTCATCAGAGGCTTCTTTTAAACTAACAACACAGAAACAGCAAGGTGCTAAAGAGAAAAGGAGAGAGTAAAAGCGAGCCATGAAAGACAAGAGGAGCCGTTTATCATAGACAGAGGTGGTATGTAAGCAAGCATTCCAGCCTTTGTTATAAAGAATGGAAACACAGAGATTTGCCAAAGGTCAAAGCAGTTTTTAAAAGTGTGGTTTTTAAAACTATATTACATTTAATAATGATAGACCATTATATTTATAAGATGAAAGCATTTGGCTCATATATATTTCCAAGTGATATTTCTAAAACCGACTGCATTACTAGGCAAATTCTTCAAATCAATTCACTGATCTTTTTTACTGAAGGATGTATTGGTTGAAAATCAAAGACTTACGTCATCCAAAAAATCAATCAGTGAGGATGAGGAAGAAGAAAATGAATCCTATTTAACGAATTCAGCAATTAAAAAAATAGAAAATATGGATGAAGCAATTTAATACAAACAAATAATAAATCAAAATTTTGTAAAACAATTGAAAGGCAAATGGCATTTGTTCAAATAAATAAATGAGAAAAGCAGTTACTGTCACCACTGTCAAGAACTTAGGGATTACTTCTCAAAGAGTGATTCTTCCTCCCTTCCCCAAGAAATGAAATTCAGTTACTATCCCCAATGTAATAAAATGGCAGTGCATGGCAAACCACCACTAGTTAAATTAATGGTACACTTTTGAGGATAACAACTGAACCAGGGTATCAGAGTCTCTGCTCCTTACTCTTCCGGATGGAATAAGTGATAAGAGGGGTCTGTCATCTGTGCTCACTGCACATTCCAGAACTTAGAGCCAAGCCTTGTGCACAGATCCAGGATTTCTAACCGCTGCACAAGGCCATGACCAATAACTTATATTTTCTGACATAAAACATACTTTTGACATTATATTACTTTTTCCAGTAAAATATTTAAATAAGAGGGAAAGAATAACAAAGAGTAACATAATCACTATTTCAGAGTACAGCTAACAGAACTGTAGCTTAGCACTTTTATCAACAGTGGTCTTAGTGCACACTGCTTAAGGGGCTGACTTGAACAGGAGCCAGCAGTAAGCTGTAGTGACTGCTCTTGCATTCACTTATTTTTATTGTGCTTTGGAGAAAAAAAAATTATTTCAAAAATTGGGATTTTTCCCTGCTTTTACCGATTCTTCAGGGAGTTGAAGTTGAAGTTGCTTTTAAGTCTAATAACAGCTTTTGATTTCAGACTCTTAGCTGTTTTTATTACATACAAATGTGGTCATACTTCCATGAGAATGCAGACACTCCTTCCTTACATGTTTCTATTCACTTATTTATATGATGCTAAGTTCTCTTGTGTGGCGGTAAAGTTTTACTGCAGGTAAATTTAGGTCCCAGAGTGAACTGTAGATAGACTCTAGAGGGTCTTCAGAGCAGTTACTTACTTCAAATGGATCCAGAGCATCGGTAGGCGTATTCAAAAATGCCAAGAAAGAATGCTGTGAGTCTTGGTGCTCTATACCTAGAAAACAGCAGCAACTTTTTTTTTTTAAAGTAGAACAACTAAAAATAATTTTCATGGATAACCTCTCCTGTCTCAATCTATTAAAGTTTTTAAAAATAAAACTACTATGTTTCAAGGTTGATTGTAATTAACTTTACACAGTTAAAAAACCAAACTACATTAGTGTTTCCCAGACTCAACACTTAAACTAGACTAGCTTACAAGAGAGTCCTCTGAGTCACTAGTCAACCTCTCCATCTCATACACCAGTTCTTAACCTGGGGCTCATAACTCTTTTGGGGGGGATCAAACAACCCTTTCACAGATATCCATATCCTGTGTATCAGATATTCACATTAAGATTTGTAACAGTAGCAAAATTACAGTTATGAAGTAGCAATGAAATAATTTGATTAGGGGTCACCACAACATGAGGAACTGTATTAAAGCATCACAGCATTAGGAAGGCTGAGAACCACTGATCTAATACATCATAATAAAATAAAGTACCTTTTGGGCAATTTGAAAAAAATATAAAACTAGAAGCTTGTTTATTTGTGATTTTTCTAAATTTATTTACCAGCCAAACAAGGTACATCTTTTGAAATACTTTTTTAAAAAAGGTCTTTTCAGCATTTATGAAATATAATATTTATTTAATTAATAAAATAAATATAGTTAATTACATTTTTTCCTATTTCAGGTATTAGCTTACTGAAGACTGAAGAATCCAAAATTCATTTTTTCTCAGGTGAATTTTTTTAAAAAGTACAGATACTTTTTGGCTATGATAAATTTAAATATATATCTCAAAAATTCTCTAAATATAAAGATGATAGTATTAGGGGAGATAAAACAAAAATAGCTTATCATAATGAATTTTACAAAAGTATATACATGAATGTTTTTCCTTCATGTATGTCTGTACACCATGTGCATGCAATGCTTGTGGAGGCCAGAAGGAGGCATCAGAACCCTGGGACAGGTGTTAGAGAATGCTGTGAGCTACTCTGTGGGTGCTGGAGGTTAAACCTGGTCTTCTAGAAGACCACCAGTGTTCTGAACTGCCGAGCCATCTCTCCAGCACCCGCTGTACACCGTTTGCTTTTTCTATCACGAAGACTTGCCAACTGGTTTGTGTTTCTCTATCGAGCACAGGGCCGGTGTTCTCTGTATCTACATTTGGGCGCATGACCATGCGTGACATTTAGAGGTCAGAAGTCAGTTGTTAGGCATCTCCCTTTGTTGGTCTCCGTTTTGTTTTGTTTTGGAAACATGGTCTCTTACTAAAACTAAAGTTCACATCTGGTTAAAATGGCTTGCCAGTGAACTCCATGGTTTTTTATTTCCTTGTCTCTCAGTGCTGGGAGTTTAGATGTATCACTCCAAGGTGATAAGAATGTGGGTGCTCAGAATCTGAAATCAGATACTCATGCTTACAAAGTAAGCATTTTTATACAGTTAGTCGTCTTCCAATCACTGATTCATGTGCTTCTCAATATTAATATTATTCTAATATTAATCATCAAACAGGCAGTTCAGATATTTAGTCAACAAATATTCATTATGAGCCTATTATGAACAACTGAGATGGCTCAGCAGCTAAAGGCTCTTGCTGCCAAGCCTAAAGACCTGAGTTCAATCTCTAAGACCCACAAGGTGAGAGAACTAAATTCTGAATGTTGTTCTCTAACCTCTGTATTTATGCCAAAGCATGCACTGCCTCCCCATCTCTCTCTCTGTGCCTGTCTGTCTCTCTCTCTCTACACACACACACACACACACACACACACACACACACACACACACACA